CCCAAAAATAAGGTCCCCCCCCCCCCCCCCCCCCAGTTTCGGAAAACTCCCAAATCCCCCGAGGAGCCGCTTGCATCCAGCCGCTCGGTCAGTGCGAACCGCATGCTGCCGCCCCGACCCAGCCTGCCCGGTGGAGGCCGGCTGGTCCGTAAGGGTCCAAGTATTCATTATTTGAGGACTTTGAGGCCTTTATGCGTAAAAAACCATAAATAAGGACTGCTTGGACCCTTAGGGGGTATTTGGGCATACCTTGATTTGGAGTTTTGCGGCGCAGTTACACAAGTTTCCTAGCTTTGCAGGGTGTGTAACAGTCCGTGGACTTCAAGATCTCCGGTTGCGGCCAGGTCCTGACTTCGAGTGCTTCGATCTTTCTTTGGGCTTAGCGCATTGTGCAGGGCTCCAGGGTGTACAGTGTAAACGAAATCCTCTCCTCGTACCTCGTGCAAGATACCACTTGCAGATTGTAGTTGCAGCGAGCAGGTCGTGCCATATGCTGGCAGAACTAATTTTGTCATGTCGGCAGTTCGAATCTCTGCTGTCCCCACATCTGAAGGCGGAACGATCACGACGAAGGATCTCCAGAGCTTGATGCGCAGAGTCTCGGCATATTCAGTCGAACCGAGCACAGACGGTACCACGCCATGGTCTTTCTAAAAGGCTCTTCTGTAGGTACAACTGCCGGATCTGAGAGATGTCAGTAGAGACCCTAAGCCTCAAATTGCGGAACTTGGATCGTCAACAGCCCGGGCCCCAAATAACCAGGGGGGGTCGAAGCGCAGTACATTCTGTACCCTCCCTTACAAGGACGAGGCAAACAGGGTCCTTAAACCCTCAACCCCAAACCCTAAACCCTAAACCCCTAAACCCCTAAACCCCCTAAACCCCTAACCCCTAACCCTAACCCTAAACCCTAAAACCCTAAACCCTAAAACCCTAAAGCCCTAAACCCCAAACCCCAAAAGAGGGGTTTCTGAATCCCTCTTCTTTTGGGAACTCAGAGGCCTCGGCCAGAACCCAACGGAAGACGAGCTACAGGCGCCCCGGAGAAAGCCGGAAAAACCGGGCCCTTTAGGGGTTTAGGGTGTACCCATAGGCTCCATGGTAGTTCCTTTTTGGGGTTACCTTAGAGGATCCTAAATATAGTGTTTCGGGTTTAGGGGTTTGGGGGTTTAGGGTGTAGGGGAAGGGTGTAGGGTTTAGGGGTATAGGGGTTTAGGGGTTTCGGGTTTAGGGGTTTAGGGGTTTCGGGTTTAGGGGTTTAGGGGTTTAGGGGTTTAGGGGTTTAAGGGTTTAGGGTTTAGGGTTTGGGGGTTGAGGGGTTTAGGGTTTTGAAGT